CAGTTCAGCGGGTCTGGGCTCACTGGGAGCAGCCGCGAGGTGCGAGAGCTGGCAGGAGGGAGCACAGGCGGGATGCACAGGCGTCCCTGCGCCGGGGAGCCCTTCCCGGGGGATGATGCCAGGCGGGGAGAAGCTTGTCTCCTGGCAGCCGTTTCGGCTCTGGGCTGCATGTGTGCTGGGTTTCTCCAGCTCCACTCGCCCGGGGCTGGCAGCTGGTTGGCATCGCTGGGGTTGGGTGGCTGCGGAGCTCTTTAGGTGCCAGCTTGGAGGTGGGAGTACGGGGGAGACGTGGGAGCGGTGCTGCTGCTGGAGCCGAGCAGCTCGCCCGGCACAGTGCTCGGTGTTTTCCCAGCCCCAAAGCTCCGTCACTCAGCCCTATAGCAAACCCAGCTCTGTGCTGTGCAGACCCTCAATTTGGGAGCAAAATGGGGCAGGGGGCTTCACCGGCTCATCCCCCACCAGGGTGATGGGAGGAAGGTGTAGGACCCCTTCTCGCCCAAGGCTTGTTCAGATTGCAGCAGCCCTGTGCTCCCCAAATTGCAGAGGCACATTAGAGACCCCCATGTGCAGAATTTGCCCACCACAGACATGGGGGGCAGAGTCCCCCCCGCTATGGGGGTAGTGCTGCCTGTGGAGGGGGACACATCTGTGCCTCCTGGGTGGATCCCCTGGTGCCCGATAGCAGCAGGAGGTGGGGAGCATCGGTGCTCAGTCTGTGCTGCGCAGAGGCTGAGCTCTGCTGATGGTTTCTTCTCCCCAAGGGTCTGAGACACCCCCAGGACCCTTTGAAGCCCTGACAGGGGTTCTAGCAGGTGCTTTGCAGGTGGGGAAGTCTGAAACCTTGGGGACGGGGTGTCTGGGGGAGTCGGGGAGCTCCGGAGCATCCCTGGTGCCATGAGCCGCAGACCAAGGCATGCATGGTGTCCGGATGGTGATGGCAGGGTGCTGAGCCCTGCACACAGGTGCTGCTGGAGCAGCATCGGCCCCGGGCTGTCCCGCCAGCCGGACGGTGAACGGGGGTGTGTGTGCTCAGCCCTCCACCCTTTCTCTCTTTGAACAGGTAAAAAAACCGGAGCCCCTGAAAATCGCAACAAAGGTAACCAGCCTCTCCATCCTTTGAACCAGCACCACACTAACTACCGAGCATTCCTCCTTCCTTCCTTCCTTCTTTCTTCTCATCAGTCTGTGCTCTTTGCTGCTCCGGCGGGACTCTCGCCTCGTTGTCCTGGGAGAGGGTGCAATGGTCCCGCAGGTGTCCCCGGCACGACATCACGGTGCCCTCCAGCACCCCACCACGGGGTGTGCATATCTGGGATGGGGCTGGCTGGCTTCCCCCGTGGCCACCTTGCCCTTGCATGGGGTCAAAGTCTTTGTGTAGGGAGGACAGGGCTCCTGGACCACTGGCAGAGCATCCCTTTCTCAGGGCAAACTGCATCCCTGTTGATGTGAGCCGCAGCCGTGACCTGGTGGCTCTGAACCCTTTGTGCCCGTCAGAAGACGTCCTTCTGCAGGGTTTGTGTTTGGGCACGGCTCGGGGACAGATGTGAGTCTCCTTGTGACATTCCCGTGTTGAAATGTCCCCCAGGGCCTGGCCAACGCGATGGTTGCACCCTCTCCTCCCATGGCCTCGACTCCGTGAGCGTCTCCTCGCCAGTGTTTCTCACACTGTTCTTTGCAGGCTGTGGAGGAAGCCCATTTCTGCACCTCTCTCTCCACCTCTCTCTCTCTCTCTCTCTCTCTCTTTCTTTCTCTCTCCTCTCAGCAGTTTGAGTTGCCCTCCTTCCCGTCAGACTGTGTCCGGGTGCTTGTTTTGTCCGTGTTGGGTCTGTTGTAACCGTGGAGGTGTCCGGTGTGGAGCAGCCGTGAGCTCCGGGGTGTCATGAGCCATGGAGCGGTGGCAGCCAGGAGGGGACAGGTCCCAGGGCAGCTGGGGTTGGCTATGGGGCCACCACCGGTCCTCCAGCCACCTTCTTCCCATCCCTCTCCAAAACTTCCAGCTGATGTGGGTCTCTCCCCGGTGCAAGACCTTCCACTGGACTAGAACAATTACAGCAGCTGAAATTCTGGTTGTGCTGGGTCCTAAAAAATGTGATGGGTGGCTCAGGGCTGGGATTCAAGGAGCTGGCTACCTCCTCTTCAAACTCCATCCAAATTTCCATCTGAATTTCTAACCGTCCCCTTCCATCTCATCCCCTCGGTTCCTCCCCTGGCAAGTGATTCCTGCTAGCACTGCAAAGTGGCACCATGTGGGAGTAGGGCACGGAGCAGGGATGCTCATCAGAGGACTGGGAGGGGACCGCGGAGCATCTCTGGGATCAGCCCAAAGTGCTCCCCATGTCAGGGTGTACAGCAGCCCTCGAGGGGAGGCTGGAAGAGCCCTGCCTCCACCCCACAGCCTGGCCAGAGGGTTTCTTGCAGCGCTGCCTTAGAGGAGTTGCATCGACAGTGGCAGCTCTGAGGATCCTTTACCTGTGGGGTGGGGTAAATGGCAGGAATCTGCCCTGTAGAGAGGTGTCAGGGCCCCGGGACACGAGGTTTCCATGTGCTCGGATGCGTGTGTCGTCGGGAATGGTTCTTGTTCTGGGTTTTCTCTCTCTCTCCCACCACCATCTTTCTCAGTGGTGTCCTCCAGGTGTTCCTGGTCTCTCTCCTATTCACACGTGGTGTCTTGTTTTGCCCTGGGCTGTAGCTAAAACTCAGGATGGTGTGGCCTTAGAGATCCAACCCCTGAAGAGCCAGGAAGGGGTGGAAAACGAGGAGAAGGAGAAGAAGAAGGTGAAGGTGCCCAAGAAGGAGAAGTCCGTGCTGCAAGGGAAGCTCACGCGCCTGGCGGTCCAGATCGGGAAGGCGGGTGAGTGGCGGTGACCCAACTCAAGCTGTCACCCTGGAGCTCTTGCTGGAAGGAGCACGGGGAGATGGGGCTGTCCCCTTCTCCTCTGTCCCCTCACCTGCCACTGCCCTTCTTCCCCCAGGGCTGATCATGTCGGCCATCACGGTCATCATCTTGGTGCTGTACTTTGTGATCGACACGTTTGGGGTGCAGGGGCGGCCCTGGCTGGCGGAGTGCACCCCCATTTACATCCAGTACTTCGTCAAGTTCTTCATCATCGGTGTCACCGTGTTGGTGGTGGCCGTGCCTGAAGGGCTGCCGCTGGCGGTCACCATCTCCCTGGCATACTCCGTGAAGGTGAGACCACGATGCAGCAGGGTCATTGGGGGCGTGATGGGGAAGTTTGGGCTTTTTGGCTCTGACTTGCCTGGCGATGGTGCCTGTTGCAGAAAATGATGAAGGACAACAACCTCGTGAGACACTTGGATGCGTGTGAGACCATGGGCAACGCCACCGCCATCTGCTCAGACAAGACGGGCACGCTGACCATGAACCGCATGACCGTGGTGCAAGCCTACGTGGGGGACACCCACTACCGCCAGATCCCCGACCCCGAAGCCATCCTGCCCAAGGTCCTGGACCTCATAGTCAACGGTGTCGCCGTCAACTCAGCCTACACATCCAAGATTCTGGTGAGCTGGAGAACCCCAGCCTCATGTCCTCTGGCCTTCCCACCGTTGGCCATCCCTGCAGCTCCCGTCCTGCCGTACCCAGCTTTGGCATTGCTTTTCCTTTCCATTTTCCTCTCCAGCCACCCGAGAAGGAAGGGGGGCTACCCCGGCAAGTGGGGAACAAGACCGAGTGTGCCCTGCTGGGTTTCGTGCTGGACCTGAAGCAGGATTACCAAGCTGTGCGCAACGAGGTGCCGGAGGAGAAGCTCTACAAGGTCTACACCTTCAACTCGGTGCGCAAGTCCATGAGCACGGTGCTGAAGAACGGCAACGGCGGCTTCCGCATGTACAGCAAAGGAGCCTCCGAGATCATCCTCCGCAAGTAACCGTCCTCCCTCGCTACACTGGTCCTCTCCCCGTCCCGTGGATTTTAGGCTCTTGATGCACCATGGAGCTGTTCTGGGGGGCTGCGGGGTGAAGGGTGCCCAGCCCATCATGAGGTGCTGCCATGGGAAGTGTTTAACTCTTTTAGGGTGGCTTTGGTAGAGCCGTAGGGAGCTGGGGGTGAGGGGGATGCCTCCGTTTTGCAGATGGGGAACGTGGGTGACAGGGGGAGCAGATGGTGTGCCACCACCGGTCTCCCTCACCCTCCACCCTGGTCCTGCCTTAGGTGCACCAGGATCCTGGACAAGAACGGTGACCCCCGGGTGTTCAAGGTGAAGGACCGGGATGAGATGGTGAAGAAGGTGATCGAGCCCATGGCCTGCCACGGGCTGCGGACCATCTGCCTGGCTTTCCGGGACTTCCCCGCTGACGCCGAGCCGGACTGGGACAGTGAGAACGAGATCCTGTCCGACCTGACCTGCATCGCTGTGGTTGGGATCGAGGACCCTGTGCGGCCGGAGGTACGGACCCCCAGCTCTGTCCTCCACCCCAGCCCTGTTCCTGGGCCAGGAGCCCCTTTCCCTGCTGCTCAGGACCACAAAACCCTTCTGAAAGCCCAAGCAGCTCCTCTGCATCCATCCCTGCAGTGCCCCACGCTACCACCTCCCTACTGCCGACATCTCTCCCATACCTGGAGCAAACGACCTGGTGCCAGGCTATTTCCATCCAAACTTTCCCTGCAGCTGGTACCAGGGGTCTGGGCACAAGCCAGCCTGGTTCCACCCACAGCTGAAAGGTGCATGGGGACACCCCGTACGGGTCACAGAGGGGTGATGGAGAGGGATGGGGCTGATCTCGCTGGTTCCTCCTTGCAGCTTGCGGGGATGACAGGCAGGCAGCTGGGCTAATGCAATAACCCCTCCGATACCTGCCTCTTGATTACATTTTGGAGCGTGCCCCTGTGCTCCTGCCTTGCTTGCATCTTTCCTGATTAGATGTTCAAGTATCTGGCTCTGGGAATTGCATTACAGATGCCCCGTCTGCACCGGCTCTGGAGGCTGTTGATTCAATTTGCTAATTTCTCACTAATATCCTCTTCCCCCACCGCTCTGTAATAGATAAACCCATTAGCGCAGCGACGTGCTGCCGGAGCGGTGGGGCAGACGAAATGCCCCCGTTGTGATGGATCACTGAACCAGACCCTGGCGCCCAGTGCCGTGGCGTGATGGGGGGGGAGGCAGCGAGGGTGCCTTCCCCTTGGGGCAGGGGCTGGAAGACCTTGCGCTGTCTGTGCTGGAGAAGCTGCTCCGGAACACACACACGGGTCTGGCTGGAGTCAGGGCGAGGGCAGGGGGCTGCAGGGCAGCATCCTCTCTGGGCCCCCCCCGGAGCTGGGGGATAAACAGCTGGGCTGGTTCTGGGGGGACATTTTTTGATTCAGCATCTCATCCCTGGTGTGAGCATTGAGCTGTGGGTGGATGCAGGTTCCTGACCCCACCTGAGCTCCTTCCAGATCCTTTTAGGGAGGGTGGGAGAGGAGCTGCTGGGCTCCCAGGATACCCGGTGCTAAACCCCAACCCTCTGCCCTGCCCATTGTCCCCCCCCCCAACTCTGTCCTTGTCCCCCAGGTGCCGGATGCCATCCTGAAGTGCCAGCGTGCGGGGATCACCGTCCGGATGGTGACAGGGGACAACATCAACACCGCCCGTGCCATCGCCACCAAGTGTGGCATCCTGCTGCCGGGGGAGGACTTCTTGTGCCTGGAGGGGAAGGAGTTCAACCGGCTCATCCGCAACGAGAAGGGAGAGGTGGGCAAGGAGCCGGGTCCTGCTCTGCGCTGGGGCGGGTGGTCTCTCCAGCATCCCCAGCAGCGTGAGGTGGGTTTTCCTCCTCTCCTTGGATAAATGCAGCCGGTCCCTCCGCTTGCAGGGATCCTCCAGTGGGGGGGTCCAGGTCACTGTCCTAATTTAGGGTCTCCGGTGGGGCAGAAGGTTTCTGGGGGGGTGGTCTCTACCCTTTCTGATGTGTGCCTGGTCCCGCAGGTGGAACAGGAGCAGCTGGATAAGATCTGGCCCAAGCTGCGCGTGCTGGCCCGCTCCTCCCCGACGGATAAGCACACGCTGGTGAAAGGTGGGTGCCTGCAGCTCCCCCGCTGCTGCCTCCCACCAAAATGTCTTAAAAAAAGTCAACTCTGCTGGGAACCTGCCCATGGGAGTTATTTTCTCTGAACTGGTTGTCCCCGTTTCAGGAATTATCGACAGCACTGTTGGTGACCAGAGGCAGGTGGTGGCGGTGACCGGGGATGGGACCAATGATGGCCCAGCTTTGAAGAAAGCCGACGTCGGGTTTGCCATGGTACGGACAGGCGGGGGGGGTCCCTAGGGGTGGTCTTTGCTCGCTGGGGTGAGAAACTAATGGCACTCGTGGTGATTCTCAACACTTAAATTAATTCTGGACTGGTGATACTCTCCTCCAGATCTACAGGATGGCTTAGAAAGAAAAAAAAAAACCTTCTTTGGAGGTTTGATTTAATTCTCGTGAACTTTACAGGACTTTATAGCAAAAGATTGATGGGAAGTGATCCTCTGGCAGCCTGGCTTAGGGCTGGGCTCCTCCGACCCACCCGGAGGGGCTGTGTCATGCTGAAGGTGACACGGTGCTTGCAGAGCACCTGGAGCAGGGACCTGGCCCCGGTTTCTGAGCTGTGGGGTCCAGAAGAGCTGTGGGAACCCAGTAACTCAGCATGACGTGGTTTATCCTTGCCATCTGCACCCAGGCTCGTAACGGGCAGCCCAGGCTCCCAGCACGGTGCTGACACTGACCTGAGCAGTTGATTTATGGCAAAGAACTTGTATCTCCTGGTTTCCTGCTTCTCTTTGCCCTGTGCAAAAGAAGCAAGACAATAAACCTGTCGGTTTTAACGGGCTGCCTGTGAATTGTTTAAGTTTAGGGACGTGAGCAGGAGCCAGCTGCTGGGTGCAGACTGATGAGCCCGTGGAGGGAGCTTGGAGCAAATGAGAAAAGATTTGGGAGCAGGGCTTTGTAGGAAGGTGTGAAACATCCCAGTGCAATTCAGGAGCCTTTAGGATAAACAGCAGAAGGTAGTCTGTCCTCTCCTGGGGACTGTACATGTGCAGGATCAGACCCTGGCCAGGCACTGGGCTCTGCTGGGGGCTGCCCTGGGGTCCCCGGAGAGTGGGGAGCCAACAGCACGTGGGATCGCTCTGTCCAGCCGCCTCCAAAGCTCGCCTCCTGCCACGGCCGGGGAGTTCTCGTCTGAGATGGGTCTTGCAGATCCCAAGAGAGCTTCTCCAGGGAAAGCACCAGGGAACCAGCTCGTTATGGGCATTGCTTTGGTGCATTTAATTACTGCAAAGCGAGCGCCTCTGTGTGCCAGCGGCGAGAAACGCAGCGAGCCTAGCTCCTGCCCAGCAAACTCTGTCCTTCTGAGATGCCCCCGGTGACTTTGGGGGGGCTGCGGGCAGCTCATCCACCTCAGATGGTGCCGGGGCTGCAGGCTGCTGAGCTCACTCTCATTTGGGGGTCCCACCCCTCTCTTGCAGCAGAGATGCCCAGCCAGGGATGCCCGTGTTCCCTGGCGTAAGGAGCAAGCCGTGCTTATGAGCTGTTTTCCAGCTGTGCTGCTGTCTGGGCAGGCACGGCGATGGGCTGTGAAACTGTGCTGACCCAGAGCCCTGCTCTGGAGCCCAGCCGGTGTCCGTCCTTGAAGATTTTGCTGCTTTGGAGCCACTCGGGTGCGTTGGCGCAGGTGCAGCAGGACTCGCTGTGAAACGCAGGGCTGGCATCGGCTCTTCTCGCTCCAGTGGATTTTCCTCTTGGGGCTGTTTCTGGGAAGAAGCAGAGCTGGGCGGACGGCGAGCATGGAGCTTGCTCCGTGACTCACCCCATCACTGTCTCCCCGCTCCTCAAGGGCATCGCGGGCACGGACGTGGCGAAGGAGGCTTCGGACATCATCCTGACGGACGACAACTTCACCAGCATCGTCAAGGCGGTGATGTGGGGCCGCAACGTCTATGACAGCATCTCCAAGTTCCTGCAGTTCCAGCTGACCGTGAACGTGGTGGCCGTCATCGTGGCCTTCACGGGCGCCTGCATCACGCAGGTACGGGGCCGCGGGGCTGGGCTGGAGGAGAGCGGAGGCTCCAAGGAGCGGAAAGAGGGCGGTTTGGGTGGTGTGACATCTTCTTCCCCCCTCTCTCTGCAGGACTCTCCCCTGAAGGCTGTCCAGATGCTGTGGGTGAACCTCATCATGGACACCTTCGCCTCCTTAGCCCTGGCCACGGAGCCCCCGTCCGAGTCCCTGCTGCTGCGCAAGCCCTACGGCCGCAACAAGCCGCTCATCTCCCGCACCATGATGAAGAACATCCTGGGGCACGCCGTGTACCAGCTAACCATCATTTTCACGCTGCTTTTTGCAGGTGAGCTTTGAGGCCCCAAGAAACGCTGGAGGAAAAGAAAAGGGGGAGAGTCTCTGCCCTGCCTTGCACGCCGCCTTTCGTCCCCAGCGTTGGGGACACTTGTTCTCGGCTGTCACTCGGTGACCTCATGTTGGCCAGGACAGAACTTATTTAATGGATGGGAAGCAAAGGGGTGATGAGGAAAGGATTTTTTGCTCCACCCATGGGATGCAGAGACAGTTTTAGCCAAGGAAGCAGCTTTTCAACATTTTTAAGGAAATAAGGGGTCAATGGGGCTAGCGTGGGGGGCTACAGGTGGGTCAAGGGATCTTCAGCAAGAGCCTGGGATCCTAAATCCACCTCCACCAGTGCTGAGCAGAAGTAAGGAGCAGGGTCTCATCTCCTCTCTTTCCTGCCCTTCCCCAAAACCCTTTCTCTGCTTAGGGGAGAAGTTTTTTGACATCGACAGTGGCCGAAACGCCCCACTCCACTCCCCGCCCACCGAGCACTACACCATCGTCTTCAACACCTTTGTCATGATGCAGTTGTTCAACGAGATCAACGCACGCAAGATCCACGGGGAGAGGAACGTCTTCGAGTCCATCTACCGCAACCCCATCTTCTGCACGGTGGTGCTGGGGACATTCGCAGCCCAGGTGAGGCTGTGGGGACAGCACGGGAGTAAGCTGATGGGGCTGGGAGGGGACCACGGCGCAGGCAGGACCTGGATCTGCTGCAGTCCCTGCCTACAGCTCTGTCCTGTCTCCTTACTCTTCTCCAGCAGCTTCTTGGTGACATAAAAACTGAATATTGGGGTCTAAAGCGTGGCGGGAGGTGACAGAGCTGGCCAGACAGCGTGCCTCTGGTGTCCTGTAAAGTCACTAGCCTAGATGTGAGGTCCTTGCTCCTCTTGTGGTCCCAGGGAAGGGAGGAAGATGTGTGGCTTTAGGGGACCTTTTCATCCCGTGGCTGTGCTGTGCAGCCCGTGGAGCTCCCCAGTGTGTGACTGGTTCTCTCTTGTGCTGTAGATCATCATCGTGGAGTTTGGTGGGAAGCCGTTCAGCTGCTCTGGGCTCACCCTGAGCCAGTGGTTCTGGTGGATTTTTATTGGAGTGGGAGGGCTCCTCGGGGCCAGGTAAGAGCCTGTCTGGAAAAAAAAAATCCCACGTGCCTCCACGCCACGGTGTGCCCACAGCCCAGCCTGCCTTTCCTTCCCGCTGCCTTGCTGCCCTTATTCTCCGCAGTATTTATTCAAGGCAGCTTTGGCAGGGGGTGATGCTCCATCCCAGTACCACCGCACCAGCGAGGAGAGGAGCTTGCTAATCTCGTTCCCACCCTGCTTGCGGTGGGGCAAACCCAGCGGTGGCACATCCCGGCTGCATCCTGGCATCTCTCAGCTGAGCCCTGGCAGCTCGTTGCAGGGATGCTCCCCGTGGTCCAGGCTGGCGGCGGGCTCCACGCTGCCGTCGCCTGCAGGCTAAAGAGCTGCTCTCTCCCTGCCTCTCTCTGCACTGTCCCAACCAGCCACCTGAAGTTCCTGAAGGAAGCTGGGCACGGCATCACCAAGGAGGAGATCCCAGAGGAGGAGCTGCCTGAAGATGTGGATGAGATCGACCACGCGGAGATGGAGCTGCGGCGCGGGCAGATCCTGTGGTTCAGGGGTCTCAACAGGATACAGACGCAGGTACTGGGGGACAGCGGGGACTGGGGGGTTTTTCCTTCTCTCTCTCTTTCTTTTCTCTTT